AAATAAAGTTATAACTGCAATTAGACCTAAAGTCTAGTACATTAGTTGGTGTAAGACATGATTTACAATCAGCCAATACAATTACAAATCACTACATTAGGCCTATAATGTTTACTAGATCTAGATCTAGGCCTTGCCTCTTGCATATATTGCCAATTTTGCACACCAGTTAATATGTTACATCAATCTCGTATTTTCTTTTTGTTTAACATACACTTACTTGTACGTTGTACTCTAGGACTTGTATTTGTTCTACAGATGAATGATGGAATAGTGTAATTTACTTCTGCACGTCAATTCGGTCTCACTGTATTTCAGTAGGCGGCTTTTAAAAGTTAAAACTGCAAGCGTAATACACACAAATAATGTAACACTGTGTCGTATTTACTTAACGCAGGGCAGTTGCGCTATATCCTAGGGGAGAGCATAATTATTAATTAATAGGTATTATAGGCCAGAGGAAATTTTGCGCCCCTTCACACCTGCGCCAGGGGACCACTGCCCCCCTCTTGTTACGCCACTGCTCTAGATATCAGATAAAACATGACGTCTCAACAAATGAAAAATATATATACGATTTATTCTATATGAAGGATAATAAGGTGAAAAACAACTGATATTAATTTTACTCGGTGTACTTGAGAAAAATAGAGGTTAATTTATTATCATCAACATCATTTTCGTAAAATATTAAGATTGTTCAATAATGACAAATTTAATTACCATTGCATCCATCTTAAAAATGTGTCAACTGAAGCTGTAAACTTTTTAACATATTTGCTGTAATAAATTGACTGCTAAACTCATTTAATTGAGCTGTGGCTCCTAATCTATTAATTAGAATTTTATTTTATACATAAACTTACTTTTTATCTCGTCCCTCGGTGGGTCAGTGGTATTTTTAGAGACTTACAATGCTAAAAGTCTGGGATTTTATTCCTTATGGCGGACTGAGTGCATTTAGTCCGTTGTGTGGCTTTGGGTGCAGTAAACGCATGGATAACCAGAAATTGCATATATGTTAAACGATCGTGCGAACACAATGATAAAGTAAAGACAAGTAAAGAAAAAAACTTTTCAAA